TCCATCACACGCCATGACAGATTGTTCCAGCCATCAGTCATTCTTCATAATAAAAATGTATGCATTATTTCCAATTTGAATTTGTTGGGGCTCAGCTTCCAGAAGGTATTTCTTCTTATGCAGCTCTCTGCTTGATTAGAGAGTCCAGTGGGATCTTGTATTTTCTCCCCCTGGAAATTCTTGTATAATAATCAAGTTGACTCTCAGTCTCCTTTGGGTAAACTAAACAGACTAAGCATGTCAGATCTCTCACTGCATGACATTACCTATAATTTTAAAAACATTTAAAGTCCTTTTGTTTTGCACTGACCTCTTAAAAACTATATTCAACTATATTCGGTGTAAGAACAATCTTCTTGCCTGTAATACACACATTTCATCCTACACATCTCTACATCCATCTCTAAATATATTTGCAGATCTCATTAACACCATTTTGCATGTCTTGTCAGTGGAAGCTCTTGATGAATAGCGGATGCACTCTGACTCTCAGGCTTTTTGCTCTCCGGGACACGTTTCTACCTTCTGCAGACTTTGAGTGGGCTTGGGCTTGCCAACAGATCCAAATTGCTCATGTTACTTCAGGGTTTATCACTCTGTCAGTCTTGCACCTGCCAATCTTAATAACATTGCTTTTCTATTTGTCTGCAGATCATTGATAAAAATGTGGACAGCCATCAGGCTGAGTCCGGAGGCAGGCAGAACTGCCCTTTCCTACCTGCTCAGTGATGGTTTCCCACCCACAGCCCTGTCTGAAATCTGTTACTCAGGCAGTTCTTAATCCATTTAAGATGTGCTTTACTGGTGGTGTGTGGTACATTCTTCATCAGAATGACATGCAAAACCAAGTTAACTGTATTAGAAACCCTAAGTCAATTACATTCACTCAGTCACCTTTATCAAGCGACTTGTAATCCTTTTAAAGAATGAAATGAGGTCTGTTTGACAAGACTTGTACAATGGTTTCAGTGGGTATTAATACTGTAGCGCTTGTTAATTTTTTATGAAGTGAATCCAATGTCAGCTTTATTGCATGCATGTATAAATGCGTGTTGCTGCCTGTGGCAATGTCTTTACAGCATCTTTTGTGACCTAGACTGGTTGTCTGTACAACTCACAACTTTTTTTTTCTCTTCTGTATTTATTTTAAGAAAGCTACACTTGCAAATCACTAATAATTGCACCGCTTTCACTGGAGCTACTGAAGGCATCAGTGTATCTGGCACCACTTAAATTTGAGAAGAAACGTCTTCTCAGTGAGGGTGACAGAGCACTGGACCAGGCTGCCCAGAGAGGTTGTGGAGTCTCCTTCTCTGGAGACATTCAAACCCCGCCTGGACGCCTTCCTGTGTAACCTCATCTGGGTGTTCCTGCTCCGGCAGGGGGATTGGACTGGATGATCTTTCTAGGTCCCTTCCAATCCCTAACGTTCTGTGATTCTGTGATTCTGTGACCACAGATACAAGTGGTCTGTTGTGCTTTTCTCAGCTGCCTCTGAAAATGTTCTCAGTTTTAAAAATGGCCATGGTGTGGCAAGTCATGAAACCTTCTAGTGCATTTTCACAGTTTTTTCACAGAAAAATCAAATTCAGTCTTCATGGTGTGCGTTGCTCTGTGTAAGTTGGTGTGTAGCACCCAAACTGGTATTTCAAGGTGTAAGAAGAATGTTTGCAGATGGAGAGGGAGAGGGAATAGTAATGTCCAAACAAGATCAGCAGTGTTGTTTCTGGAAAAGATTTTCAGAATTACCTGTGTGATTTAGCAGCCTCAGTTCTATTTTCCGAAACAGGGTAGATGTATAAGAAGGTATTCAATATGAGCTGAAAGTTAAATATGGACTCTGGGGTTGGGAGCAGGTGATGTTCACAAAGGCTACATCTAAGCAGGGAGCCTAATTTTCCCTCTGGAGTCTGAAGCAAGAGGGAGGGCTTAGAGAAAGGCAAATCAGAGCACATGCCTAAAATATATGATTTATATTTCCTTAAGCTTCACATCGCACGTTAAGCTCCTACTTGGTGATGTTGTCCTTCCCACTGACAGCAGCTTGCACGTGTCACCACCACAAACACAGCGGTGCTGTGATAATGTCAACCATTTCTGTGGACAAGCAGTCACTGGATCCATGCTCAGCTACGTATTAGGGAGAGAGAGCATCCATGAACAAAGGCAAAGTGCCAGTACCCTGGGACAGATCATCTGTCTGTGCCCTGTCCCCACCCTGGGCAAGTCCTCCTGGGCCATCATGGGGGACATCTGCTCTGCAGGGTCCCTCTGAGCATGGCCACAACCTGCCTGCCTCCAGTTGGGGCACACTCCTGAACTGATGCTGCTTAGATTAAAGAGAGTTTAGCCTGGCTTTTGGTCTCCCCGATTGCTGGAAGAGCAAGTTGTGTGACACGAGGAAAGGAGACCATCTCCGTGCTCATCACACATCACGTTTCCTCCCCATCCCCCTCAGCTGCTCCTGACTGCCTGGAATGAGACCAAAGGATGCATCTGTTCTGACGTCGAAAGTGGCTCGTGTTGCTATTAACCATGTTCAGCCCCAAATTGAACGTGGCAAGCAGCTGGCATGCTCAGAGCTAGTTTGCTTGCAGACATATGTGTTTTGACGGGAAATGCTGCTGCCTTTGAAATACAGTTCTTAGAAAAAAGAAAAAAGGTAATTCTCCACCCAAATAAGAAAAAGGCTCGGCTCACTCCTGGGAGGTGAGCGATGAATGGCAGTGTCGTGTAGCAGCCTGCCTGATCTCTTATACCCTTTTTTCCTCTAAAATGATCAGTCTGCAAGGAGTTAAAAGATATTAGTTTGGTTCAAGCAATAATCTCCACTCAACCTCACTGGAATCGAAGAGGAGGAACTGCTGCCTTCTGTGTCTTCATTAGGGCAGTGGATCACTCCCAGTTACTGACTTCTTATTTAAAATTCACAAATCTGGAATGTGTGGTTAAGCAGCACTCTCCAGTTCTTGCTAATTTAAAAAACATTGCAACTTTGGATATGTCATGAGAGAGCTCACTTATTTATTATTTCCCTTCCTGATGGCTTCTCTGTGCACCCTCCAAGAGAAAAAAATAAAGCAGTATTTATTAATAATGGTAAAACAGTGAGTCAGGACACCTTTTATGCATTTAAGGTGCAAAGCTGTACAAGGTGTGGTCTCAGTTCACACAGGAAAGTGCTCTCTGTCGTGTACCACTGCTGACACAAAACCACCTGCCCCCACTGAGAGTGGATTATTTTTCGCTGTCAGTCTTTCACAGCAATTCATTGTCGCAGGATTTACTTGCATATACCCACCTTAGCACCCATTCCTGCTTTCCTGCCCACTTCCTTCTTGGTCTATCACCAGTGAGCAATGGGGTTAGAAAAACAGATTTCTTAGTTTGAAGTCCACTGGTTCAAATTCAGACTATGTTGATATGACCAAGAGGGGAAAATGACTCTTTGGCAAATCTTTCCATCAAAATGAACCTTTTATCTGCATTCCAATGCTGCCGGTCAAGGACAATTGCACAAAGAAATGCTGCGAGAGCCAGAGCAGAAATGGGAGCCTGAACTGCAGTTGGATTCAGATGGAAATGGATGTTGCGGCAGCCATGACTTTATCAAAGTACTTACAATCAAACAAGATTTTCTGCCATTAGATAAACATCAGCACATCTATGGAACTGCATACGATGGGACTTCAGGTGGCATCAGTTGTTTTGGGCCAGTTTCACCACTTTGGCTAGCAGTCTGGTCTTGTCCTACAGTTTCTCAGACTGAGTTTATGTCTTGTCAAGTGAGTTTATGAAACATTTGTCACTGCACAATGTGGCATGCGTGAAACAGTAAAAAAATCCACCATTTCTTGGGTTGTGAGTTGTGTGCATTGCTCTGAATCCTGCTTTGCCTAAACTGGCACAGTTAATTTTAAAAAATCTGCAAGTGATACAGGAAATATGTTCTGCAGAAAGAACTCATTTGTTTTCCATCCAGGATGTTCAGTCTCAGAGAAGACATGGTGCAGCATGGGGCTGGGGGAAAGCGGGATGATCTGATGTTGAAATGAGCATCCAGGCAGGAGCTGCTATTCCCAGCACAGACACAGGGCTCCATTGGGCATACAGTACTTCAGCTGCTGCCCAGGTTCCTCTGTATGATGGGAATATTCCCTTAGCAGTTAGAGATGTGATCAGACTGGAACAAGGGACATATAGTTACTTGGAGTAAGTAATTTTAAAGACACTGGTAAAAAAGCACTTTGTGAACATTCCTTGTAAATTATACTTCCCCTAGGTACACATGGCTTTAGTACTGTCTTTGCTGTGCTGGCAACCAGTGTTTATTTTCTCAGCATGCTAGGAGCACCCCAGTCAAAGATCCCCGTTTGCTAGACACAGGCCCATTGGTGATCTTTTCCAAGACCACCTGGTCTACCAGGCAAGATGTTCAAGGCTTTGTAGGCAGTCTCTGTCTGAGGAGAAATGTGAAGAGAGCCTTGGATTAGGTTTGCAGCTCTCAGCCAAGGTTTGCAGTGTTAAATCACAGTCAGCGTGTTGCTGTGCTCTCTTCTTAGCTACATGCAGGTGGGTAAGACGAGTCTGCTCTGGCTCTCAGGTGCTAGTGACTTTTAATTGAGTTCAAGGTTTAACAGGTGGGTGAGAAAGGGTGAGGAGAACTGTATTACAAGCCCTCATTTCACAGATTACTTTTGGACACAGTCTATGGGCAGAGATTTCGTTTCTAAATTCTTGTTTTGCCAACAGAGACGAACTGCAAATCAGGAGCTGTCAGCTGAGATTTGGTTTCAGTGCTGCCACATCAGTGAAATAACAGGCACTGGTGAACGTCTCAATTTTGCTGCCAATGTTGGTAGTTCAGCTGTTGTGTTGCATTCCTGTTTGATTCCCTTTAGTGACAGTTCTCTCGTAATTAATTAAATGGCAAAAAAATTAATGGAAATTAATTGAAATTAATTTCTCCATTCATATGTTGGAAACAATTGTCTTCCCAGCTTTCTCCTGTGCTTCTGGTGAGTACCTGGAGATGAAGAACCAGGTGTGCAGCAAATGTGCCGAAGGGACCTACTCGCTGGGCAGCGGGATCAAGTTTGACGAGTGGGATGAGCTGCCGGCAGGATTCTCCAACGTGGCGACTTTCATGGACACGGCGGTTGGCTCGGCTGAGGGTAAAGCCGACAGCTGCAACAAGTAAGGAGTCCTGTTTGCATCTGGGTTATGCAGCCATGGGTCAACCTGATGCAGCTCAGCAGCACAAAGCCAGATTAATGACTCATCTGAGCTCTCCAGAGCGTAAGCAGCCCTGGTAATGCCAAAGAGGAGTGGCTGGGAAGGGAAATTTTTAGCCATCTCTTTACTGTCATCATGGTCTCCTCGGGCTCATCAGCAGCTAGTGACTGTAAGACCAGCCTGGATCTGCTCTTATTGGTAGCTGGAAAGCTCCAGGGTCATGGTAGAGTAAATGGCTTAAAGGTACTTTCACAGGCTATTTAAAGACCCAAGGCTGTTTCTGAGTGTAATTTAAAGTATGTTGGACCTACGGGTAATAAACCTTTCCTATTTAGGCTGAGTCCTTAATTTCTAGTACCGTATCTTTTTCCATGCAAAGTGTTAATTATAAGTATTATTTTTTACAAGAAAAATAAATAGGAATCCAGTAATAAATTTATATATCCACTGCATTCAGCTATTGTGGGATTCTGGGTTCTTTATTAATTAACGTGTTTTTGTATAGTAGTGTAAGAAAAGTCTCCTCAGTGTCTGTGACCTCAGCTGAGGCTTGTTTTGTTTATGTTCATCAGCTCTTCGTGGACACCTCGAGGGAATTACATTGAGTCGAACAGGGATGATTGCACAGTTTCTCTCATCTACGCTGTGCACCTCAAGAAATCTGGTTCTGTCTTCTTCGAGTACCAGTATATCGACAACAACATCTTCTTTGAATTTTTTGTAAGGTCTTTTATATGATTAATCCAACTTTATATTGTAAAAATTCAACCCATATAAAGACCATCAGAAACAGCTTTAACTCTGTTTACATTCCCCATATATCCATAGCTTGTCACTGCTGAATGAGATAAAAAAAATATTTTATTTCTGTCATTTATGCTGCCTTTTGGGAATTAATTTCAGCTTCAAAACTCAGGCTAAACTGATCCTATCTACCATGCACTGGGATTTTTCCGTTAGGCGTGATGACTGTCCCTGTTACTCCAGCCTTTTACAAGGCAGCTCTTGGTGGCAGATGCTTCAGTTTGAGGGTGTTTGGCTTGAGATGCCTTTGAAGGGACTTGAAGTTCAAAAAGACTTCTTCCAAAGTAGGCATGCGGAACTTGAGGCACTCCAAGGCATTAATATGTGGAAACCTGAGCTTTAGTTTTAGGTCAATTTGGGTCATAGCAATTGAGATTAAAAGAAAAACAGGAGAAAAGACAAAAGGTTGTTCCTTAAAAAAAACCCAGAAACAACAGTTCTGCAAAGAGATGTAGGAGTAAAAATTCAGATGACTTTCAGTAGAAATTAGGCTCTGAGGATGTGTCTGCATGGCAAAATGGAGGGGCTGGGGTCAGTGGCTCTGAAATGGGAGCAGCCTGGCAGGGCTAGCACCATTTGTACCCAAATTACTAAAACAACTCAGCAGGAACAGGAATGGGAAGGACAGCCATGCCCTGCCCATGTGGGTGATGGGTGGTCCCATGGTCTGGGAAGCCGGAGCGTTCCCAGCACCAGGCTCCACAGTGTGATGCAAATGCCACACGTCACTGAGATGCTTTGGAAGGTTTCACCACCACCTACGTTGTTTTCCTTGGCGTGTTGTAGCTGCCGTTTGGGGCAGAAAAGAACTTAAAGGGAGGGCAGTTCAGAGTAGGAGATGACTGGAAATTTTTATTGTCTTCTGTTATTGCCTCTCTCCCTGTCTGGTGAGCTCTGATTTCATCTGAAAAATACAGCTCATGGTGTCTCACATGAGTGTGATGCCTTAGCTGGTGTTGCTTAATGTTTCTTGAAGCTCAGAGAAAAGTGCAAAGTATCCTTATCCTTAGTAAAGATGGGAAAGGAAGTCAAAAATAACATGCTGGAGGCATCCTCTTGCTGCTACATTAGTGCAATCTATTGCACTTAATAACAGTCAGTGCAGGAAATAAATATTATTTAGCCATTTTAGTTTTCACAGAATCACAGCATGGTAGGGGTTAGAGGGCACCTCGAAAGATCATCCAGTCCAACCTCTTTCAGAGCACGATCACCTAGACTAGGTCACACAGAAGTGCATCCAGGCGGGTTTTGAATGTCTCCAGAAAAGGAGACTCCACAACCTCTCGGGGCAGCCTGTTCAGTGCTCTGGTACCCTCACAGTAAAGAAATTTTTCCTTATGTTATGTTGAACCTCCTCTGTACTACTTTGTGACCATTGCCCCTTGTGTTGTCATTGGGCACAACCGAGAAGAGTCTGGTCTCATCCTCCTGACACCCACCCTTTAGATATTTATAAGCATTAATGAGATCCCCCCTCAATCTCCTCTTCTCCAGGCTAAACAGACTCAGCTCTCTCAGCCTTTCCTCATGTGGGAGATGCTCCAGTCCCCTCATCATCTTTGTAACTCTATGCTGGACTCTCTCCAGTAGCTCCTTGTCCTTCTTGAACTGAGGAAGCCAGAACTGGACACAGTATTGCATTAGTGGCCTCACCAGGACAGAGTAGAGGGAAAGGATAATCTCCCGCAACCTACTGGCCACAGTCTTATTAAGGCACCCCAGGATGCCATTGGCCTTCTTGGCCATGAGGTTACACTGCTGGTTCATGGGCAGCCTGTTGTCCACCAGGACTCCCAGATCCTTTTCCTCTGAACTGCTCCCCAACAGGTCAGTCCCCATGCTGTACTGATACATAGGGTTGTTCTTTCCCAGATGCAGTACCCTATGCTTTCCCTTGTTGAATTTCATTAAGTTTCTCCCCTCCCCACCTTTCAGCCTGTCCAGGTCACACTAAATGGCAGCACAGCCTTCTGGAGTGTCAGCCACTCCTCCCACCTTTGCATCATCAGCGAATTTGCTGAGGGTACACTCTGTCCCATCTGTTTTAGACTATCCTGCCTTCTTCACGGGGAGAAAGCAGAAAATACTGACAGCTTTCTGCTGTCAGATGAATGTACCAGGATTATGAATCCTAGGTCCAGTTGCTTTACTGACTGACTGATCTTCTACTGCAATGGAGCAAATTTATTGTTTCTCCAAGCACTGGTTTTGAAAATGGCTTTTTGATTATGACTTCTATCCATATTCCACTCATTCACTTCCTTAAATTTATCCTTCCCCATTCAGGAAGCAGTGAGAGGTACAGTCCTTTATAGAAATGCCCATGTAAATAATTCCTAATCGGCCTTGGTATTTCAGCCAAACCATATTTAATACTCCTCTAAAAGTCCATTTTTTTTCTCCAGTGGGTCTTTGTACTTAAATATATTTAACAATAACACTTTAGCTCTGGACAGTGGCATTTCAGTGGCAGTGGCTTGCAAGCTGCCTGGAAGTGGTGAAGTTTTTGGGCTCTCCAGGTGCAGGTGGATGCACTGTTGGTCTGAGGGTAAGCGAGGAGATGTCCTCAACGGTGGGAAGCAAGTGAGGATGCTTATAGTTAGATACCCAGTGCTTCTGCAGCCTGCCCTCCCCAGGCTATTTTACATATCAAAGCCCTTTACACGTTGTAAGAATAGACTATATATTCTTATATCCATTTTGCAGATAGATTGGAACCAGGACACAAAGATTCTGTAGCTCAGATTGCGCAAGATAATTAGAGATCTACTTTCCACTTAGGTGCTTCTCTCACCTCATTTCCTCAGTGCTGATCTTCTAGGTGGGAATTAAGTCTGCAGATGCTTTGGAGGATGTGGGGTTATGTGACTTACTTCAGGCTTGACGTGGAGCAACTTTGAGGAGGATGCTTGACTCCAGGTCTTCTGAAAGTATCGAACTGGCCTTTCTCCCTGGTGGAATAAAAGCTGAGTAATTGAATTCAGAGGGACTTGATATTTTTTCTTCAGAGAAGACAGTTACAAGAAGAAAGAAGTGGACTGGTGTGAGATGGTGCACCAAACCCTGCTTTGAGGAAAGGCTACTGAGCTATGCCGGACCTGGGCAAGGGACAATCAACCTCACGCGTTTGCCAGGGCAGACTCTCCATGGCATGTTGCTCTCTCTTGAGAATGTTACTCTCATTCCTGGTGATGTCAGTGGCAGGGAGCCAAAGACACAGCAGATATTGGCTGCAGAGAAAGCAATTTGTCTTCTAGCTTTGGCCCATCCACTCCTACTTCCCCTCTGGCTTAGAAGCCCGTGACCTCTGGAATTTAGAGAATTGGGTCTTAGTGGGCTGAGGAGAAGGGGGCAGCTAAGACAAGATGCTCAGCATCTGAGTATGACCAGGTAGAGAGAGGACAAGGCTGAGGTCTTCTCCTCCTGCTCTTTTTTTCCCATCTGCATCAGAGGTGGTTACTGGAGGCACTGCTAAGCTGCTAGCAGGTTTTGAAAGTTGTTGTTTTTTTTCCCCACAAATAAGGCAGCTGTTGTCCTAGATATGTAGACAACAGGAACAAAGTTGAATCTTATCATTCCCTGCCAGCAGTCATTATGCTGACAGAGAGATGCATCCGATTGTGATCACTGATCTTGTGTTTTTAATTAACAGATACAAAATGACCAGTGCAAAGAGATGGAGTCTACAGCAGACAAGTGGGTGAAGCTAACAGACAATGGGGAATGGGGCTCTCATTCTGTAAGTGTGCAAAAAAATCCTTTATGAAGCTTTTTCCATTTATAAATGTCTGTGATTTCCTCTGAGCAAAGAGCAAACAAGGGCCAGATCCTGTGAATGCATCTGAAGAAGCACAGCTTGCCTATGACTGTGGACAAAGCCACTGAGATCTCTAAGGGGCTGATCCCAAAGCAAATTATATAGATGCAAGACTTTGTATTGATTTCCCTGGGCTTTGAATCAAGTGTTTTATGAGGTTAAATAGATTTATGCAAATCCACATGGCACAGTCACTCTGCATGATTGTAATTGAAATTTTCTACAACAGTTATTTGCTCATGAGAACACAAGATTGCTCCCTGTTGCTCAGCAGAGTGGTGCAAGTGGTATGTGTATGTGGAGGCAAGCAGGATGGGCATTTTATTCTCAAATGTGTCCTGAAGAGCTGGACTGCACCCAGCTTGTGCTCTGAGGTGACTTACCTGGTTGAAAAGCTAGCTGGGAGCACCAGCATGGCTCTTGCAGCACTGATCTGAGCACGTTCACGCTGGGAGCCCTTTGGCTGGCCTGTGACCCCTGGAGAGTCAGTGTTTGGGGAGTGGGAGATACAATATGCTGCATCGCCACTTCGCTGATTTTTTGGTCTCTTTATCCTAGGTGAACAAAAATTGTTGTCCTGCCACACCTATACAGCACTGTTCTAAATTTCGTGATCATAAACCTTTATGCTGGTAGAGTTTATCCCTCTTCTTGTGTGAAGATATAGCACCTTCAGGCCATTATCACTGTGTTGACAGTAGGCAGCCTGCACTGGGCTAGTAGACATGGCACAGCTTTGCAGGCCAGGCAGGGTCTTGGTAAACCTGCTGCTTTTAGTGAGTGCAGTGATAACTGTAGTTACATAGGTGAGTTGAGGTCAGCAGGCACCAATGCTGCTGCTGAAAGAGGTGGTCCTGCCTCCCTTCTCCCCCTTATCCCAGCCATGTTGCCACCAGCTCACTACTTTCTGTGTCAGCACAGGGGTTGTGCAGCTGTTTGCTGAGCCATGCTGTGAAGACAAGTAGGTCAAACCAGTTGGAGACAGGGTTGTTTTCTGCATCTCATCTGCTGTTAAGGGTCAGAAATGAGCAGGAGGGATGGGACTGCTGCTGAGGACATTCCTGGTTTGTGCCTAGCTTACTGATCATGATGCTGTAGTGTTAGATGGATGAAGATCTTGATTTTTAAAGCCAATAAACAAAACTTACTTGTGAGCCTGGATTTTTGAACTCTGGGTCGTGTTCGGTTTCATTATAAAAGTGTATCTAAAGCCTTTAAAAACAAACTGACTGACTATCTGAACACAGAGCTAGAGATAAAAGCTCCTGAGTGCCAGGGGTAGCTAGCTAAAGGCAGGAGCAGCTTTCTCCCAACTCTGCTTACAACAAGGTCAGAAACAGCTCTTGGTGTTTTTCCACAAAACTGGGGCATTGAGAAGCTTTTTTAATAAGGTACGCTTAGGCACTGCTCAGAGATGTCTCTACAACATCTGCCTAACTGTCTCCCCGTTACTTCTTGACTCACTAAGCAGCTTAGGAAAAGCCAGGATTGCTGTTAGGATGTAGAATACTTCCTGAGTAATGGAAGTAAGAGATAAAACTGTTTCTTGGTGAAGGGATGTCTGCTAACTGTCATGTGTTGTTGCAGGTAACTCTGAAATCAGGTAGCAATATCTTATACTGGAGAACAACAGGGATTCTCATGGGGTCTAAAGTAGTGAAACCAGTTCTGGTGAAAAACATCACAATTGAAGGTAAGTGATACTTGCCTTTTAGGTCATACCTCACTCTGTCGTCACAGAGTTTGCCAAGTGCTGTTTCTGCTGATGTGCCCACATCACCGAAACAGCTTTCTTAGCCCCTTTATCCCCTATCTCCTCCTCTAAAGTGTCGAAACAGAACAGCAAAACTTCACACTGTCAGGAAAAGGCTGAAAAATTTATTTAGCTGGTAAATGATGCCGTCTACTGGAGAAGACTGGCTTAGCAAATAGAGGGAAAAAGAATAAACAGATTTTGTTTTATGTAGTGTAGAAAGACCTGGTTCATGAGTTAGCCTCTCAACAGTGATAAGCAGATGGACATATTCATTAGAGCAGTGATAGATAAATTATTATTTAAGTAATTTAATTAATTTGGGATTGCTCTTTCAGTCCAATTCTAAGTGTAATCAAGCTTGGAGTGTCATATAAGGTTCTTATATGGGTCAGACTTGCATTGAGAAGCAAAGATTAAAGGCCTAAATCATGAATCAACAAATGCGAAGCATCTAAAGTGAGTGGTGAACATCTGTGGTTTTTAAGCTGTGTTATCCAGCTTGGGAGTTTGCTTTCCCCCAAAAGCAGGTGGGCAGTAGTTATGGAGCATACCTCTCTGTATTTCAGTGCTTTACCTGCAATTTACCTTACAGGAGTTGCATATACATCTGAATGCTTCGCATGCAAGCCTGGTACCTTCAGTGACAAACCAGGTTCATCTGGCTGCCAGGTGTGCCCAAGAAATACTTATTCTGAGAAAGGAGCTAAAGAGTGCACCAAGTGTACAGAAGAACTGTATTACGCAGGTACATAAATCAAGTGGGGTAAGCAAAATCAGAAGAGTCTGAGTGTATAAGGCCATAAGCTGTTTCTGTGTGCAGATGTGAAAACGGTTTTATCCAACAATTAAGTTTAGTCTCCAGTTGAAATGCAAATGGAAAATGAAGATGTAGCTTCCAAAAAGCTGCAGAATGTACTTACAGACCTGATGGCTACACTTGATCTTGGCTAGGATCACTTACATTAACACAAATGGATGGAGTTCTTTTGTGACCTCGAGAGGAACAGGTCTTCTGAAGGATGATAACAGTCGTGCTGTGCCCTCTCGTGGTAATTTGTGTTATCGGTTGGTGATGAGCTGAATTGGCTTCATCACTGTCTTTAGACTTGTCATGATTCTGAGACTCTCCTTTTCAAATCCTCTCCTGGCCATCCCTGCCTTCCCTGTGGTTGGAAGATGTGGTGCTCTAGTGGCAAACCCAAGTCCCCAAAGTCCTCTGCATTCCCAGCTGTGGTTAGCTGGTGATCATAAACAACATGGGCAAAATCCATTCTTCACGGCCAAAATACCTTCAGTTTTCTTCCTTCTAATTGTCTTACAAGAAAGTTTTTGAAGAATCAGTTACTGACAGTAGCACCTGCTATCACAGATTACAACAAATGCTTGAGGACTTGTGCCTACTTATGATAGGAATGGGAATTTTACAAAAGTATTGGGAAGAAGAAAAACTGGGCCAGTGTTGTAAGGAAGTTTATAATGACTTATAGTGTTTTTGTTCCTTATCAAGTGAGGACATATTTCCATGCTTGGCAAAATACACAAATTACTGCTTGAAGGTGAATGTTTGGGATGAGTGTTTGGGTGATTCCCTGGTTACACTGGATAAATGAATTTCAGTGTGACAGTATAAGCATAGCTGGTATTTGCCCTCTTACCTCCCTCCGCCACCCCTCCCCACTTCAGTTCAAGGAAAGATTAGTGTAGAATCCATTAAGAGTTTGATATTTCATTCCTGTTTTGTATTTTTCTGCTAACTCACTTTAATCTCCAGATTTAAATCTTGTTACAGTTGTTTTCAGGGACCATTTGGCAGTTTAACATCTTATTTCTCGCTCTTTCTTTTTAGATGAGGGATCCAGTGCATGTATAGCGCGTCCTCCATGCACAAACAAAGACTTTTTCCAGATCCATACCCCGTGTGATAAGGAAGGAAAAGTAAGTAGAAGGCATGATACTATTTTTAAGCTCACTGTGATCACTGTGATCTCTTGATTTGAAAACAAGGTAGGGTTTCTAGGAATCTTTCCCAATAGCTTTCACAATTTTGCTTCCAGCATTGAATCTCTCTGAGGCTTTTGGCTTGTCCTTTATCTGATTTGTCTCCAGGATTTATCCATCTGTAAGAATCTGCCTGTCTTGGGTCTGCTTAAGGGATCTGTTGTGGTGAAATGCTAAGTTCCTTGCACTTGTGATTAGTCTGACTGTGTCACTGGTGCTACCTCCATGATTATAAAAACCCAGGGTTGGAGCACAGGGTGAAGTACCGTCCCAGAATAAACCCTACAGTTTAGTTGTTAACAATCTTTCTTACATGCTTCTGGCTTGTGACAACTTGCCCTGTCACAGCAGTGCCCAGGCGTGATTCAGGTTCTGCCATGGCACAGAAGCATTGGACATGACCATACCTATTTCAGGTGGAAGAGTGTTGGGCTGCATAGGCATGATGTGTATCATGTGTGTATGTGTTTTAGCATCAACGAAGAGCTATATTTTATGTATGAAATAATGTTATAGACATAGCCTGGGAGTATTTGTGTGCAGCAGCAGAGCTTAGCTGCTAGTAATGTGCTTGCCTCATGGGATGCCTCGAAACACCTGAACTCTCAGTAGACTGTTTAACCCAGATATCTTAGAACCTCTGGGTCTCTCATAGAGGGACCTGCGGGTGGAGCAGCCTGACTTTGGAGCTCTCCTGCCCTTTGTCCCAGCACCCAAGTGGGGATTTTGGTGAGATTTGGAAAAGAAATGGAACCCAAAGAGGTGTAGGCATGTGATCAGTCCTGCTTTGTCTTTTTTCTTCCTTTTCCCATCTCTTTTAGATCCAGATAGAATGGCAAGTAGTCAAAATCCATAGCCTGTAGGTTGCTGGTCTAATATTTACTGGCAGGATGGAGTATTTTGGAATCTTCTGGTCAGCCAGTTTCAAAATGCAGCTGAGAATTCATGAACTTGAATAACCAAGCATCAGTGAGTTTAGCCCTGGAGCTTGCAGGCTTTACAACCTGGTCTTGACTCACTGATCCTTGCTTTGTTAACGTCTTGTAATGATTTGAGGAATTAGCAGCAGTGTTCACTGCTACACCCCCAGGTACTGCTTTGATTGCAGTGGATGCAATTAAATTAATCTTGTGGATGACTGTGTCGCTGTTCTGTGCAGTTCAAGGCTCCCCAGCATTGAATAAGTTCCCACTGTTGACCCTCTTCCTGCATCCTCAATGGCTTTTCCCTTCAGTGATGGACATCACCAGAACACAAGGAGGGTCTTTCTGCAGACACCTTTCATCTTCCAGTTGCAATGGCAACAAGTGTCATAGATGCACAGATACTGGCTGGGTTTTCAGGACTGCTTTCACCACTTAGTGCTCTGCATCTCTGGAAATCAGTTCAGGTTTGCTGTACTCCCCAGACGTTGCTCCATGTGATGCATGCCAATGAGAGGGCCTGTCTCTGCACCCAATTTCAAGTGAACAGTGGCTGTAAAAAGAGCCAGCCTAAAGGCCTATTGATCCATCACTAAAATGAGTCAGGTTTTTCACTGGACATTAGTTTGTTTTCTTCCTCCTGCTATCTCCGCTCCATGGGACCTCAGGACATTTAAGTACTTGACTCCTATTGACTTTTCATCTGTCTTCTGCTTTAAAAATCCCAGGCTGATTGCTTCAGCCCCAGTTTTAAAAACCTTCACCTGCACGGCTGTGGGCACTCTCTGACCCTTTTCTCTCTGCTCAGATGCAGTAGGATTGTGTTAGTGTATTGTGTGTCTGGACTCTGGACAACCAAACAGGTACTTTGCCAGCTCCTTAGCCTTTTCGGTTTAAATGCTGTGCACCCTGGTGCTGCTGAAGCATATCTGGAGCAGAAATTCCTCTAAGTGTTCAGGAGCAGCAAGGTAGGCTGATCCCTAAAGGACAGACACCGCTCTGACAGCAGGAACAGTCCCAGAGCACATGAGCAAAGCGAGCAAAGCAGACCCATGGCCAGTGGCTATATTCTGCCAAGTTTGCCAGACAAGTCCATAGTGATGAGGCAAGAGCAATGTCAAGCTGGAACATCAAGTCAGTTAGGACGTGGATCAGCCAGAGTACAGGACTTGGCATAGGCATGGCTGTGACACAGCTCTGGGAGGGACAAAGACCAAGAGACTCAGCTTAAGTGCAGCTCCCAGGAGCTGAGGCCTGAGCCTACCCTGAAGCTTCTTCCAGCTTTTTTTCAAACAGCTTCAAGGCTGGTCAATACCTCTTGAAGAAGCCTGTGTTGTCAGAGGACTAACCTTGAGCAGAAGCAGCTCAATGCCTGGGATAGCAGGGGCAAGTGCTTAGGACCCTGAACCAAACTAATAAGATGAAATTTCTCCTTCCAACCTCTGTACTCTTGCGTCTGGCCTCAAGGATCTCTAATTGCACTGCTGGGATTAAAGGGTGGAAGTACCTGGAGGGAGAGATCTGGCCAAGTGAAAGTCTTGCCAGATGGGTTTCTCCCCTCTGGAACACAAGTAATTTTTTTCTTGAGATATTAAACCCTTTCAGAGATAGACCCAAAGAGAGATGAAATTTTAAACCCAACTCTACAGGTGATTCATCTCACCTAAGCCTTTTCATGAAGTTGGAAAATTTGTGTCTTGTCAAAGAGAGATGATGACAGAGAGGTGAAGTGGCAAGGACTGGCTCATGTTAGTGTTCATAAACTGCTCCTTGCAAAATTGGAGGGACTGGAGAGGGGTTGGGAGAGTTCCTGTGTGGTTTTTACATTTGCTCATTAGGTGAAAATGACTGGAGAGAAATAAAGACTGTTCAAAGAACAGGCTAGTATGGAGAAAAGACAACTTGTGATGCTCTCTGCTAACAGATTCCCTCCCATAAAGTGCTATAAAGTGCAGAAGTTATAGGTAGGGTCACTACAGTTAAAATACATGGACTGATTTTGCAGGTAGAATTATTTATCTAACGTAACTCAGAAACATTTTTGTGGGTAAATCCACTGGATAAATAGGAATGAACAGCAGTAATTGTTTTAAGCTTCACATTTTTGCTTGCTCCTAAGGCCTAATGTTGGAATTGTCTGTGAAGCCAGTCACTTCTGTTTCCCTTCTTTGACCTTCCCTTTATTGTCCTGGATGTGCATGATTTGTTCTTAACCTAATACATTGGGAATACGCTAATTAAATTTAGAAGGGGGACCTTGATTGCTGCATCTAGTCATAAAGCTTCCTAACACTTCAGGTGAGCTCAGTGTCTTCTCCTTTCAGACTCAGATCATGTACAAATGGATTGAACCCAAGATCTGCAGAGAGGATCTCCCTGATGCATTGACCCTACCTCCTTCTGGAGAGAGGAAGGATTGTCCACCCTGCAATCCTGGCTTCTACAACAACGCCTCATCTTCTTGTACTCCTTGCCCACCAGGCACATTTTCAGATGGGACACAGGGTAGGAGTCCACAAAAAATTTCCTTGTGTCCTTTGAAGCAGTTGTCTGCTTGCATGCAACTTAGTTTAATGATACATCATCATAAACTAGAGCTAATTTTGCATAGAATACTTATTAAATAACACTGGAGATAGTTAGCTGGATATCTGTTTTCTCTCTGAAGCCCTTTCTTATCAGGGATTGCTGCTCTTAGTTGACCTGCTGTGTTCTGCATACATTTCTTGGCTGATATAAACATCCTGAGGGTTATTTTAAGGGATTTTGAGAAGGGAATCAGAGCTTTTACAGTCAGTAATTCCTTCTCATCTATTCTTCTGTCCATGCCAAGTTCTTTCCTGTGAAAAAATATCATTTTAAGCAGTGTCAGATTAGTGCCCTGTCAACATTATCTAGCCTAAACTCTGCCTTGTTGATTCTGAGAAGTATTGGCCCACTGGTTACCTACAGCATTTTGTGGGAACTCATGTTTACCAGGATGATGACACCCTCAGCTGAAGCCATTAAAAAGGAAGTGTGACTTGGGGTGTCAGTTGCAGGTTACTTACCACAAGGTTATGATCTGCAATGTATAAAATGCTGGTCTTGTTTCCACTTTTCTGTCCTGATAAGTCTTTGGCTATCTAATTATAAAAAAATACATTATTTTCTTTGCTCATTACTTCCCTTAGAGAGTAAAAAATGTAATGCCTGTGTTCTTTAAAACACTGTTTGAGATATGCTTTGTCTGTGTGATTTCCTTTCCTGCCTTCTCACCCTGTAGAGTGCAGAGCCTGCCCTGCTGGAACTGAACCAGCTCTTGGGTTTGAATACAAGTGGTGGAACATCCTGCCCGGCAACATGAAGACATCTTGCTTTAATGTCGGCAACTCAAAGTGTGATGGGATGAACGGTGAGCCAAACTCTCCATGTTGTTACACACCCGTCTTTCTCCTGCGCTGATCACTGTTGTAGTGGAGCACACATCAAAATTAATATGCTCTTTGCTATGGGAGTTGCAACACAGTTTCCCCCCTTTTCTTTAATTGCACCAGGCTTGAAATTTCCCATAGGAAGTAATGTCACAGTATCACAAAGAAGGAATGAAAAATCTCTTGTGTACCAGAAGAGGGCAGGAGCTGCAGCGTGTGTGAAGTCCCTTCAGAAAAGGACCTATTCCACTGTAGACTTTGATGCATCTGAATATTGCCACTGAAAAAAACCCCAGAACTATTTGACTTCTCTCTCGTTTATCTCCTTTCATGTTTTGTGATAACTATGCCTGTCGAGGTCACACATAGTTCTTGTGAAAAAACTTAGTCAGAGTCTGTGATCTTTATTCATTTAGCATTCTCTCTGCACATGTGCCAAGATTGCAGCAGAGAGCAGTCACAGCTCACAGGTGAGAGTGGTTCTGTTCAGGACTTCTCCCACCTCCAGCCATTTCTGAGAGATCTTCCTCAGTCTGATCCGCCTTGTCAGGCTGGTGTAACTCAAGCTTTGAATGATGCATGTTGAGCAGAGAGGCACTGAAGTATATGCTTAATGTTTGACACAAAGATTCATTGATTCATCTGTTTAAAGACTAGAAGAGATCAGATGGATCATCCCCCTTGAGCTTCACAGCATAGGTCAGGGAATTTCAATTGCTTTGCTGATTTCAAGGTGGCATTTGCCTATAAAATCAGCAGTTAAAACAATTACTAAAATTTTTAATTCAGAAGCATTATTATACTGCTCTATAGTTTATACCAGATATCTTTAAAATGTACTAAAGTACTGAATTGCTTAAAAATTATGGTAAGAGAGTTTTTTTGCCATATGACCCAGAAACTATCCATTTCTTGAATTTTTTTTTCTTTGTCCTATGAAGGTTGGGAGGTGGCTGGTGATCACATCCAGAGTGGGGCAGGAGGCTCTGACAATGACTATCTTATCTTGAACCTGCACATCCCAGGATTCAAGTAAGGAACATGATTATTTTTTTTCTATTTCTCATTTATCTCTGCCTCTTACACCTATTTCATGTTATTCCTGGAATGAACAGAGTTTTCCTTTCTGAAATACAATGATGTCATGAATGAGAGACAAGGGGAAACAAGTGGAGAGATGTTGACAGCACAGGAGAACAGGACATCCCACCCCACCTGGGCCCTCAGACAGGATGAATTAGTTGCTTGAGGTGCTTGTGCCTCTCCTTTGTTAAAAGAGCAAGCCTAGGCTCCTAGCTTAGACCAGGTGCCAATTATTAAGACAGGTAAGGCATGGCAAAGTGAACCTCACCCTCCCTTTGCTGTATCTCAGCTGAGGGACTTCTTACCCCCATGAGCAAACTCTGATTTTTGTTTTACAGTATGAGCAAAGAGTAATTCAAAGAAAAGAGAAGCAAGGGACATAACTGTGGAAAAGTTTGACATGTTGCAGTTTACTGTTTAGTACTTTGCAGGGGAGCACCGTGAATAATTCTGGTTTGCACAAAACCCCTGGATGTGTCTCCCACCAGTGGAGGTCAGATGCAATTGAATCAATGTAAATCACTTAAAAGCATTTAATGCATTTAAGAAGTAAGATTCCCTGCCAACACAGCCAAATTTGGGTGTTGGCTATAAGGAGGGAACTGTACCATAAAGAAGTCAGACACTTAAAAAGTAATCCTGCTGCAGAGCCACTGTGCAAAACCTGGCCTCCGCAGTTCTGCAAGGGCAGCTTTGATGTGACAGCACTTTGGCTGCTTCCCTGCTGTACAAAAAGCAATTTGAAGGATTGACTGCTGCCTGTCTGGAGAGCACCTTGTAAATGTTTTCTTCCTTCTCTGTTAAACAGACCTCCGACATCAGTGACAGGAGCAACTGGGTCAGAACTAGGACGGATTACTTTTATTTTTGAGACCATCTGTTCAGCAGATTGTGTGCTGTACTTTATGGCAGTAAGTGAGACGTCTTTCTCCATGACTGAGGACTGAGCCTGGTATTCCATATGTCACTTTAGTACCTTTACATCAACGTGATTAGTTGCACTTGGTTTATTACGACTAAGATTAAGTATGAGATTAGTTTAGTACCTGCATTGCCCTTGCAGGAAGGTTTTAATGAATGGCCTAGCAAAATCCCTCCACTATGCAAGTTGTGAACCATTCCTGGTTACCTGTTAAACTGACTGATAAAATTCTCAGTGTGTCTCACGCAGCTGAGTTAGCCTCCAGAGGTTTAACAGAGTCACAAGTCAATATGTGGGACAGAGAGATAGGAAACGGTAAATTTGGAAGTTTAATCTTGATCCTGTCAGTGACCTGGAGAATCGGTAGGGCAACAGACAGACTATTATTTGTGAAAGCAAATTACTGTGGTTTTTATTTTCCTTGTCTGCTTATGGAAGTCCATCAGCTGAAGAAGGTAATGGGATTTGCAACAGCTCCCTTGCCCCTGCCATTGCAAAGGGAAGCTGGTCTTTTTTTTTCTTTTGTATTTAGTGGTGCTTTCAGGAGTCTGCTCTTACTTTAAAGAGAGTGAAATGGGAATTAGGTGGTAATTTAGAGGAATCTGCCTTTCCCTTTCTGTGCTCTGGTACCCATATCTTTTATACATAAACAGGATTTCAAATCTGAAAGAACCACTGTGCTGAATCTGTCCTCATAATGTTTATAACCTGCTGTAGGACCTTGAACTTAACTGTTGTGTGAACTAGAGCATCTTTTGGAATAGACACTCATTCTCAATTAAAAAATTGCCAGTCATGGAAAACAGAATAAATATATTTGCCCTCCTTTATTAAATGTTAAATGCAATTGTAAAGTACTTTGTAGATATTAATCCCTTTATTATAAAACACTGGTGTTTAGTGTAGTTTGACCACACTTTTAGTATGTTTAAAAAATTATTATGCCCATTTTATAGGATGTTAACCGAAAAAATACCAATGTGGTGGAATCATGGGAAAGAAGTAAAGAGAAACAATCCTACACTCACATTATCTCCAAAAATGCTTCCTTCACGTTCACCTGGGCCTTTCAGAGAATAAACGAGGGCCAAGATGTAAGTACCTCTTTATGTACAGGGCTCTACATCACAGCTTTCCTTGGACACTCACCGCAAGAGCTCTTACCCTGCATTGAAGCTCACAGACTTCTTGTAAAGGGTGCTCAGCTGTCACCATATAGCATCCTCTGGGAGGCGGCTGTGGATAAACCATCTGTGCTGAAAAACAGACACATGCATAAGTCGATCCCTGAATTGGTGTAGTGGTGCATGGCACTATGGTTAATGTCTGCATGCGATGGCGCGATGACACCAGGGTGGTTTCCTTGGCTCTCATTCCAGAGCAGACAGTTCATCAATGACATGGCAAAGATCTACTCCATCACAGTGACCAACGCAGTGGATGGAGTCGCCTCCTCTTGCCGGGCCTGTGCACTGGGCTCCGAGCAGTCTGGCTCATCCTGTGTGCCCTGCCCAGCAGGACACTACATCGAGAAGGAGACCAGCCAATGCAAGGAATGTCCGCCCAACACCTTCCTGTCCATCCACCAGGTCTACGGCAGGGAGGCCTGCATCCCGTGTGGGCCTGGCAGCAAGAGCAACAAGGTACAGAAACTGAGTGTCTCTGAGCGATGGGCAGACAGGGTTTATTGGGATATGAGCCCTCAAAGGGCCAGTTTTAGAGCTGTCCTACACTTACATGCCTTGTAAGCATTGTTGTGTAATTATAACCAATGATCTGACTCTTCCGAATATGTCCCTACTCTAATTTCTATTTGTAAATATGCAATAATTGTTGGTTGACAGCTGACTGAATATGAGCCGGCAGTGTGCCCAGGTGGCCAAGAAGGCCAAGAGCATCCTGGCCTGTATCAGAAATAGTGTGGCCAGCAGGAGTAGGTAAGGGATCGTCCCCCTGTACTTGGCACTACTGAGGCTGTACCTCGAATACTGTGTTCAGTTTTGGGTCCCTCACTACAAGAAGGACATTGAGGCACTGGAGCATGTTCAGAGAAAGGCAAGAAAGCTGGTGAAGAGTCACTGGAGTCATTGAGGCACTGGAGCACAAGAATTATGAGGAGCAGCTGAGCGAACTGAGGTTGTTTGGTCTGGAGAAAAGAAGGCTGAGAGGAGACCTTATCGCCTTCTACAACTACCTGAAAGGAGGGTGTAGTGAGGTGGGTGTTGGTCTCTTCTCCCGAGTAACAAGTGATAGGACAAGTTGAAATGGCTTCAAGTTGCGCCAAGGGGGGTTTAGATTGGATATTAGGAAAAATTTCTTCACTGAAAGGCTTATCAAGCACTGGAACAGGCTGCCCAGAGAAGGAGTGGAGTCACCATCCCTGGAGGTATTTAAAAGAGATGTAGATGTGGTGCTTGGGGATGTGGTTTAGTGGTGGACATGGCTGTATTAATAGTTAAACACAATGATCTTAAGGGTCTTTTCCAACCTAAATTGTTCTGTAATTCTAATAAGAAGATAAAATTGACAACACTGGCTGAAAAAAGTTTCATTTCAAGAAGCTGTACTTGGGACAGTGTAAGAACAGGGCAAGCATATACATTACTTCTACCTTACACTGTCCTAG